TGCTACGTGTCGTTGCTGGTTCGGAGGCGTCCCGCTCGTGGTACGTGCGGCGATCGAGGAGGTGGCGCCTCGCTTCTCCGCACAGGAAGGCTTTGCATTTCTACAGCCTTCACCTAACTGCTTTGCTTCTTCTTCTATTTGTTTTGTGTGTTCGTTTCTTGCCGCATGTCTGCTGGCTCCTGGTAGGATGAACTTTTAGACCTTCAGTTGCAAAGAAACCTAGAGTATTTGGACCAGCAGGTAGGCAGAGCTGGCTGCAAACTCCCTGCTGCTTAACGGCCCTGTGCGCCCCGTCCCCTTCCCTCCCAGTGCAGCATCTTCTCCCTACGCTCCCCCTGCACCTTCCTTGGCATCCAAGCAGCACGAGTGGTTTTTGGTTTGCTTCCTCCATCCCACCGCCCGCAGGTCGCTCATTGCTTGGCAGATCCCCTGACAGCGCCGTGGGTGCCGGAGCCAGGGCTCCGGGTGTGCCATGGGGAGCCGGGGTGAAGCAGATGATGGGTCCATCCCATCTTGTTCCTCTGTGTCCTGGCTTTCCAGGAGCCGTTCCCAGGTGCCAGGCACTAGGCAGGGGTGCCAGTGGGAAGCAGTGCTCCAAATCCCATTCCTGGTTGGTCTCCGGGTTGCAGGATGGTGCAAAGGTGCAGGGTAGCGAGCCGGCACAAGCAGCTGAGGAGCCGGGGAAGGATCCCTGGCAGGCTGGGAAGGGCTGGCATCCGCTCTCTATCCCAGCGGTCCAGGTGATGAGCGATGCCCGCCTTGCAGCAGGAGGAGTGAGAAGGCTGAGGTTTGTCACGGCGAGGCCTGTGCTCGTAGGGAGCTCGTGGGGTGGTTTCGGTGATGCCCTGACATTGAGCATCCTCGAAGGATGCAGGATCCCACACAGGGTGGGCTGGAGCATCCCCGGTACCGATAGCAAAGTGGTAGCTTCCCTTGGTGCCATGCGCTGCCCCATTGGCACATGTGGTGATGCCCTGACGCTGAGCATCCTCGAAGGATGCAGGACCCCACGCAGGGTGGGCTGGAGCATCCCCGGTACTGATAGCAAGTGGTAGCTCCCCTCAGTGCCATGCGCTGCCCCATTGGCACATGCCAGGCTGCGTTTGGAGGGAAGCCAAAGGCAACACCAACTTGGGATAGGGAAATCTCTGGGAAACAGGCGCATCGGGGTGGAAACCACAGGCATCATCTGCAGCCGAGGAGGAGGAAGGACACGAGCCGCGCTGCAGACCGGAGATACACTGCAAAAGCCGGGCTTG